AAGTTTTAAGTTATCATCAAGAATATCAAAAAGAAAAGGCATAAATAAACTCTTTTTCAGAAAAGTAACATTAAAGAAGTAAAGAATAATAATGAAATCTTAGGATTTACCAAGGTTGTAAAAAAGCTTGGTGGTAGTTCGACGGTGGACTGAGGTCAACAGATTAATCGGCTAGACGGTGATTAATCGAGGGATTAATCCATGACCATTAATTATTAAAAAAATTATTAAAAAATTAATAAATATAAAATTAATCATAAGAATACAAGTTAACAAATAATAAATATGTAATACATAATTTAATTTTCTTTTCGATTTCTAACTTACTTTCTTGAAAAAAACACTTGACATGTTCAATTAATATCCGATACAAAAGTTTCTCTTAAGCATTTACTCAAACAATTTATTTTTCTTTTCGATTTGTAACTTACTTTCTTGAAAAAATCACTTGACATGTTGTTCAATTAATATCCGATACAGAAGTTTCTCTTAAGCATTTACTCAAACAATTTGCACGCTAGTTAAATTATTTCACAACAAACCCAAAACATATCAATAGAATTGACCACTATTTCCTTCTTTGATATTCCACTTACTAAACTAACAATATACATATATAATTGCAAGAGTATAACATCTAGACGGGGAGTTCCATCCAAACCTCCATATAAATAAGCTCAACATCCAGTGCATAGCAACCAGTGAAGCACCATATTCATTTGCCAAACCTCTAATCCCCTCCCAATTTCTATAGCCCTCAGATCTTTGATTCATAATTTTCTCTGATCGCAGAAGATGGGAGGTGAAGCGGAGAAATGGGTGTTGATGGTGACAACGAGAACACCAACGAACATAGCAGTGATCAAGTACTGGGGGAAGAGAGATGAAACATTCATATTACCGGTTAACATTATCCGATGATGAATTACCCTGCAATACTAACACGATGGCATACCAAGGAGGGAACCTTGAAGTCGACCTCCATAAATCGGGTGAAGATGTACACAGTAGCATGACAACACAAGTCACTTGTCTTCAAATCATTAATCGGAGCACTTGTATGTTGATTGCATCGATTTTAAGAGTGCTTGCTTCCCTGGAAACCCTTTCTTTAAAAGCCAAGAAGTTTTATCCGCGTTGAATTGTTTGATGCAGCTAGAATAACGAATTTGGAAGAAACAGTCGAACAGAGATGACTGATCTGCATCTGTGGTCCTTGTAAAATCCGAGATAACCCACAAAATTCATCAATTAATTCAATTTTTATGCCCATCAAAAATCAATTAAGTGTCATATAGAGATAGAGTTAGCGGTGGCAAAACCTGGGGTGGAAATAAATAAAGTAAGATAAGAAGCGGTTATCATCCCAGCCGCCAGTATCATCATCTGCAACAACGCTTGTAACAAGATGAGGATATTTGGGTTGGGGCTACGTACAACAGTTAAAAATTTTGAGTATCTCATATCGCTGGTGGGATAAAATGAGGACAAACTGAAGGTTTGTATCGATCAGATACACTTCAAGTATAAAGACGAAAGTAAAACTTAATCAAAGAAAATAAAGAACGGAAATTAAATGACACAGTGAGTTCTCCAAATTGTTCTTTCACCAAGAAAGAGTTTTGTCTTCACTAAGAAGACGAGTTATCACAAAGACAGTTACCAAGACGAACTCTCTACATTAGGGTTTGCCCTAATGTAGATTATATACTAAACTATTCAAGTATATCCCTTGATTGAAGGGATTGTGTCTAATCTATACTAAGAACCGATCTTATCACAAAGATACCAGATATGTGATCTATTATATACTTATCTATATCATTACCTAATATACAAAAGATTACATAGAGTAACAACGTTGTACGTTGACGCTGATAAGCTTGATACGTTCGCGATGTCGATGTTGTAGAGTATGCGCTGACGCTTATGGACAACGTGTGGAGTGTTTGACTCATCAGATGATGTCAAAACTAATTTTCTATGAATTCTTTATCCCGTGCTCCCTCTGATAATAAGAATGAATTTCTAACTCTTCAACTTTAATGAATGCTCCCCTTGAGAATAAGAGTGACTTCCCGTTTTTGATTTTCAAGTAGTTGAGATAGTATTTATGAATCGTAGCGGACGAATGAAGAGATGATGAGCTGAGAATGTTGATATCAGCATAACTCCCCCTTAGATTGTGTCTGGCTGAACATCCATCAATTTCTTCAGTTTTGGCAAGATTATTCTCCCCCTTTTTGACATCAGCAGGAGAATGGAACGTAAGGAGAGAATAACAGAGATGCAGCTTTGTAGTATAGTATAGGATTGTGATGTCTCCTGATAGTGTGGGATTAAACTACCAGTCACTGACATAGTGTTGTGAGATCTCATCAGTGTGTGGTTTCATACGTTGAATCATAATTCACTTTTATTAGAAGAAAAATGGCAAAATGGATAGGTGCGTGTAGTATATCACGGACAATGATATACCAATCTGCATAGATTTGTCAAGATCTCATTAGCGCATGGTATATTACACTGGATCATAAATCTTTAAAGAAGAATATCATGGAAAGAATGGATTGGTACGTGTGATAGCCTACGGTACATAGACTAACCATCGACACAAAATTTTAAACTTTTATCAGTGTGTGGTTTTACACAATGAATCATCAAGTTCTATATTAGAAGACTTGTGGAGAGAATGGATTGTTTTAGTCACGCTGAGGTGAAATCAGCATGAATCATTAATAGTTTAACTCATCAAAAAGAAGTGGTTTAAACTTCTGTATCATAGAGTAAGTTGCAATCTGGAATCAAAGATTCACCATTAATTCATAATGGTACCATGTCATACCTCAGACTAAGAGGTTAGGGAAATGAATAACCCTTTGTCATTTAAGGATGAGACAAGTATCTTTTATGTTGATAACTATGCAACAGGGTAAGCCATTGGGTTTTGCTCAAGCATGCTTCCATTGATAGGTTCAGGAAGGATAGTTAAATAAAGATAAACACCCGAGCCTTTTTATTAATTTTTTTTATTTTATTTGGACCAGGAAATCTCACTAAGAAAGTTTAGACAATGCTAGATAGTCAGCATGAGGGGGTGACTCAATGTTCTTAGCAGATGGTCTCGCTGATGAGAGACTTAGAGAGATTTAGTCACATACATTAACATGCTTCTAGGGACGATGATGTGTCAAAAGTTGCATACTAGGCTTAAAATTTCCACCGTCAGATTCTTTTTTTAAATGGTACAAAAGAATAAACAAAATAAGAATACAAACAAAAGAGTTAGTCAAACAAGGAAATAGTTTAGACAACGAAATACGTGTAGCTTTTTCACAAAGGTGATAAAGACTCGTTCCATCAAATCTCTGGAATTGAATGGTCATTAATTTACTTCCATTTTTCGAGATATCTACCTCTTGAATTTTTGGCTATATAAGTGAGCAAACAAACAAAGGTAAGTACATCAATATACACCTCACAATATACTACAAGTGTCACACCCCGAAACCGACGGCGGAAACGTTCCGGGGCGGAGGACATCATGCGTAGTATCACAACCAATGTACATAGTAAGCATAGTAAACACAACCATTACATTACATAGAAATATTTACATTTGTTTGAAAGCAAAGTAATACATGTTTTATATATACATAAGTACAAACAAAAGTAAAGACGAGACTTCTATACGCTCCGTCTTCTCCAAAAGTAACGGGATACCTGTCTAACGAGAACCTGAGAATACAAGCAGTTTTAGAAATATCAGCATAAAGCTGGTGAGTTCATAAGCAGTTTGTTTCTGGTAAAAGAATGTGTTTCCTTTGGTTTTATGAAAAGTTGTTTCCCAAGAAAATCCCATATTTTCTTATAAATGAAGTTTGTCGATTTCCATGAGATAAGAAAAACCCTGGTTATCACCAGTAAGATAAGAAAACCATAAGTTATGATCCCTGGATTACCCTCCAGTATGAAAGCAGGTAGTTTTATTACATAAAACTATAGGTTAAGATCCCTGGAATACCCTCCAGTACGAAAGTAGGTAGTTTTATTACATAAAACCAGTGTTGTAAAAAATCGGCCTAGGCGCTTGGCGGAGGTAAACTGTATAGGATTTTTGATAGGCGTTGGAATTAATCGGAATCGTTCAACGGTCAAAGGCGGAAAATGGCGGTCTAGGCGGTCAAAATAGGTCAACATAAGTCAACTAAAAAAAGTCAAAATTAAACCTTTTTTCTTAACCTAATCGACTAAAAGAAATACAGCTTCATCTTGTTTTTTTTTTGCGCCTCCTTCATCTCGTTCTCTTCTCCAGCGATCGACTACAACATTCTCCATCAGACTCCGGCGACAAGGGTTTAGCGATTCCGGCTACAACATTCACCATCGGACTCCGACACATGGGACGACGACGCATCGCAGATTCACACTCGCAGGCATGTTTCTGATTTTTGCGATTTAATTGTTATTCAACTTATGTCCTGATGATTGTGTTGTATCAGTGTGATTATCGTGATTTCTAATCATCGCTGCAACGTATTCCGACCACACGTTCGAGTCCAAAGAATTCAATCTGTCGATTCCGGATTCGGGATTTCTCACAATCGACTTTGACCAGCTGTCATCGGTAAGTTTTTCCCTTGGTTTCGGTTTTTCATTCCAGTTTTTGTTTGCTTACGAACATAAGAATATACAAGTTGCACAATGGTCCAACTATTTTGGTTTGGGTTTTCCTTTCCTGTGTTTTGATTTTTGCCCCTGTTTCATAAGTGATCATACAAGCTGGACCATTTTGCCCCTGTTTCAATCCTAATTTTTGCCCATGTTTCATTCCATCTTTTTCATGCCTGTTTCATTCCTGTTTCATTCCAGATTACACTCCTTTACACAGATTAAAGATTATTTCAAGTTATTTTCTGCCCATGTCTAATTACCATTTCTTTCAAAATTTCACAGATTAAAGGTTGTTAATGGCATCTAAAAATTCAACTACACAATCAATGGATTCAACAGCTACTGGTTTAAAGAGGAATTCAAATGATATTGCTTGGGAATTTGCTATTTGCCCATATCCTACAAACTTGCATAAATTGAAGTGTACATTGTGTGGAAAAGTTTATAGTGGAGGGGCTTCAAGAATGAAACAACATATTGCTCATGTGAAAGGAAATGTAGCTCCATGTCAAAAGTCTACCAAAGATGATCAGTTGAGATGTCGAGATGCTATCAATGAAGGAAAGTTAAAAAAGAAGGGAAAACAAGCACATGATGAAGCGTTAAGATCGGAGGTGAGATTTGATACTAATGAAAACATTAGTATAGACACGGATGAAATAGAGAATAATTTTGGGAGCTTGAGGGAACCATATGTTATAGGCCCGATGGATAACTTTGCAAACACATTAAACCCCGAAGAATCTTTGAAGTCGGGAAAAGGCAAAAAAGTTGATATTAACAATGCTATTCGGAAAGAAAGAATATCAACTGTGAAAAGTTTCATTGGTAGGTGGGCATATGAGTGTGCAATTCCTTTTCATGCCTTCGAAAAGGATAGCTTTAAAATGATGGTGGAGGTAATCGGCCAATATGGAACCGGGCTTCCAACTCCTACTAGGTATGAGTTGAGTAACACAATTTTAAAAAAAGAAGTTGAAAGAACAAAAAATTTAGTGAAAAAAAATGAAGAAGAATGGAAACAAGATGGATGCTCGATTATGACGGATGCTTGGTCTGATAGAAAGAGGAGGAGCATTATGAATTTATGTGTCAATTCAAAGATGGGTACCGTTTTTTTATCTTCAAAAGAATGTTCGGATGAAGCACATACAAGTCAACATATATATGAGTATGTGGAATCTTGCATTCAAGAAGTTGGTCCCGAACATGTTGTTCAAATAGTAACCGATAATGCCACGAATAACATGGGAGCCGCAAAGTTGCTAAAAGAGAAAAGACCAAAGATTTTCTGGACATCATGTGCGACACATACCATTAACCTTATGCTTGAAGGTATTTGTAATTTTATTTATTGTGTTTTATAATTCTATTTGTGTTTTTAATCGTGATTATTTTTTGAAGGTATTGGTGGGCTTCCAAGGTTCAAGAAAGTCTTAGATCAAGCAAAGCAACTAACCATCTTCATTTATGCCCACCACAAAACATTAGCTATGATGAGAAAATTCACTAACAAAAGGGATATCATCCGACCGGGTGTCACGAGATTTGCTTCCGCCTATCTAACATTACAAAGTTTGTCTGAAAAAAAAGAGCAACTAAGGCATATGTTCTCTAGCAACGAATGGGAAGAATGTAAATTTTCAAATGCAGTTAAAGGGAGATCTAGTCATACATTGGTGACAGGTTCCACATTTTGGGCGGGTGTGGCACTTTGCTTAAAGGTGTTTTCCCCTTTGGTGAAAGTTCTTCGTATGGTTGATGCGGATTGGAAGCCCTCGATGGGTTTTGTTTATGGTGAGATTAAAAAAGCAAAAAAAGAAATCATTGATGCTTTAGGCGGTAACAAAAAAGCATATGAGCCTATCATAAATATCATATCAAAGAAAATGAAAGGTAGACTAGATTCAAAATTGCATTTGACGGCTTATCTTCTAAATCCTTATTATCATTATAAGGATCCGTAACTCCAACATGATCCCGAAGTAATGGATGCGGTTCTTGAGTTTTTTGATACATTATTTGCCGGAGATTTAGAGATGCAAAAGCAAGTCGTGACTATTGAGTTGCCAAAGTACAAGAAAAAAATGGATAGATTTGGTCGGGAACTTGCAGTTAAAGCATGTGAAGTTAATGACGGTGACTATGATCCGGGTAAAACATTTTACTTTTGTTTAATTATTTTATAAAAATTCATATTTATCAATTTATGAATCTAATAATGTGATTTATGTTTAAAAATCATAGCAACTTGGTGGGGTACGTTTAGTGGAGTAACTCCTCATTTGACAAAGATGACAATAAGAATTCTTTCTTTGACTAGTAGTTCATCTGGATGTGAAAGGAATTGGAGCACCTTTGAAGGGGTTAGAATTCAAACTTCAAATTTAAGCAATTTATTTAAATTATAATTTTATATCATAATATTGTATATTTTTTACCATTTATTTTTTTTACGTTTGTAGATTCACACGAAGAAAAGAAATAGGTTGGATGCAAGTAAAATGAACAATCTTGTTTATGTCCAATTTAATGCTAATTTGATGGAAAAAAACAAAAAGAGAAAAGAAAGGAATATGGAAGTGTTATTAGCTAATGATAGTCACACGGCTCAAGAATGGATTGTTGATTGTGGTGATTGTGATGAAGATGGAGTTGGCATAGTTGGTGATGGTCAAGGAACCGATGAACTCGGACAAAGTTCAAGAACAAGAGAACTTTTAGATGAAGATTTTGCGTCAGGTAGTGAGGAGGAAGTATTTGAAGAAGTTGATTATGAATCGGATGGAGTTCACATCATGGAAGAATGCGGAGATAAAGAGTAGAAGCCTGTGAACAATCAAAAGTTTGATCTTATAAAACTTATTTTGGACTTTGTATGATGCTTTATGACCTGAATATGTAAACGTTTATGAATATTTACTTACTTTGGACATGTATTGTTTGATGACTTGAATATGTAAACGTTTATGGATATTTACATGTTTTGTTAGTATTTTGTTTAGAGATAATCATATGATATAGGTAATATTTAAGTTTTTTTTTACAATTAAGGGTCCCCGCCTAGGCGGCGATTAATCCCCGCCTAGACCGATTAATCGCTTGACCCCAGTTGACCGCCGAGGTACCGCCGAGCGATTTTTACAACCTTGCATAAAACTATAGGTTAAGATCCCTGGAATACCCTCCAGTACGAAAGTAGGTAGTTTTATTACATAAATAAAAATATAGAAGAAAGAAAGAAAGAAATCTGTGACCAAAGTTAGTTTGTTTAATACGTATTGTGAGTCGTATAACCATACTGATTTGACCCGTGACCTCCTTGACGTTCTTCAAGCGTCGATCGATTTCCAAAATTTGTCACCCCAGGCGTGCCCGCCTAACTGTAGCTAGCAGTTTAGGTGTGGGATTGTCAATCCCGAATAGATCTATCCACAAATTTCACGCTCTCCCTCCAGGAGACTCTGGTTATACTTCCGGAGAGGATTTACTGGTACCCCGAAGGGTATAACGAAGACAAGTCTCACAAGCTAGTATTAACTAATTCACGGGATAATTGGTCGTTATCGAGTTTCGAAATCGTTTGGAACAAAGTAGAGTATAAATAATTATATACAAAGTAATTATTTAGCATGATACTCTAGATTAAACATGGATAAACTAAATCAGACATAGTTTATATATTGACTTTGCATGAAATCTGAATCCGTAAAACAAGTAATGAAGATCCCAAATTATTCCCATAATAATTTGAATGGTTTGATAAGTTCCCACGCTGTTTTGAAAACTATGTAATTATATTCAGAAAACGTCCCTTATGCTCCGCATATTACAAAAGGGATAAAGTATCTAAAGTTTGTCAGAAATCGTATAATTACATTAGTTTTTAAGTTACGAAAACCTTTATGATTTGCTTGTATTCCCCCCCTGAAAACATGAAAAACTCGGAAAATGTAGGGCTATGAACTCACCAGACGAGAATGTGCCGGGTAGGATGCTAAGTGTCAATTTAGGACTTGAACACACGCGAGGGTCCTATGTAACATGAAGTGATACACAATTGTATCTAATTAGACATTGAACCACTAATTAAGTAAGATAATACACTCCGATGTGCGAAAACACTTTATCTCAAGTGTTAGAAGTGATACGGGTTGCATCTAAGGAGTGTAGGGCCTTAATAAGGAGTTTACTCTTCAAGTGTAAACCCTTAGGGGTGTTTACGGCCCAAAGACCATATCCCCATGAGTTTACGGGCGTAAACTCATGGGTGGGGTGTTTTTGGGTGCTCAAAGGTCTTATATTGCACAAGGGAAGTAAGCTAGACTCAAATCTAAGGCATAGGAAGTGACTAGGGCTCCATATGGATCTTAGGGGGAGTTCACGGCTGTAAACATAGAGTTTACGGCCGTAAACTCATATTAGCCACTTCATTTCATGCTTTGGTGGTTCTAGGTTAAGCATACAAGTTTCTAGTCATTTATACAAGCCATAGAGGGAAGTTAGGGCACCATTTGACCCCTTTAGGGAGTTTACGGCCAAAGGACCAATTCCTTGGGGGTTTACGGCCGTAAACTCTATAAGGACTTGGTTTCTTTGATTTTTAAGGTCCCTACTTCGATGGTGGTTGATTCTATGTTGAGTTCTAGGCATAAGGAGGGAAGAAAGGGCAACTTTGCACCCTTAAAGGGAGTTTACGGCCCAAGAACATTCATAGGCCGTAAACTCTCATTCATAGGCCGTAAACTCACATTCATCCTTGATTCAAGGTGTTTTCTAAGTCCAAAACATGTTAATCCTAGTGTACAATGAGTTAGGATAGGAATACTTACGATTTTGGAGCTTGAATGGGGTGTTTCTTGATCAAATTCGAGTTGTAGAGAGAGAGAGTAGAGAGAGAGAGAGCTTTAGGAGCTGGAAAAGAGTGGAATGGAGGACCACTCATCCCTTATATAGGGTTAGTTTGCGGCCAGATGTGTTTACCGCCCGAGTTTACCGCCCGAGTTTACCGCCGTAAACCCCATGTTTACGGCCGTAAAATCCTTCTCGTGGAGTTTATGGCATGGTTTTTGATGTTAGGACTTTAGTGGCGGTTTTTCTAACACTTGATCCTTAAGTGTAGTCGGCTCGGAATATTAATACGGACTTTAATTTGGGCTAAAAGATGGCGGAAATGAATTTGATTTTTAAATGAAGTGATAGATTGCGGAAATTATATATACGAAATATTCGGGTTGTCACATCATCCCCCCGTTAGAGGGAATTTTGTCCCGAAATTAGAGTTCGAACAACTAAGTTATAATACAATAATTCAGCAAAAAGACGAGGATATTTAAGTTTCATTTGATCGTCGCGCTCCCAAGTGAACTCCGGTCCTCGTTTGGCGTTCCAGCAAACCTTCACTATCGGGATGCGGCTTTGCTTTGTTCGCTTGATCTCCCGATCCATGATTCCGATTGGTTCTTCCACGAAGTTCAGATTTTCGTTGATTTCGATCTCATCCAGAGGGATCACAAGGGCTTCATCGGATAGGCACTTCTTAAGATTAGAGACGTGGAAGACATGGTGGATGTTGCTAAGTTCTTGCGGTAATCGGAGTTTGTAGGCTACTAGACCGATCCTAGCGAGGATCTTGAAAGGTCCGATGTACCTTGGGTTCAGTTTCCCGCGCTTTCCAAAGCGTATCATGCTTTTCCAGGGCGAGACCTTCAACAAGACACGATCTCCAACCTGGAATTCCAAAGGTTTTCGTCGTTTATCGGCGTAGCTCTTTTGTCTGTCTCTAGAGGCTTTCAGTCGCTCTCGGATTTGGATGATCTTTTCGGTTGTTTCATGGATGATTTCAGGACCAGTGAGAGCACTGTCGGGGACTCGACCCTTGGCTAGTTGCGTGTCCTCTACCTCGGCCCAGCACAGAGGGGATCTGCACTTTCGACCGTAGAGGGCTTCGAACGGGGCAGCCTTGATACTGGTGTGGTAACTGTTGTTATACGAGAACTCGATCAAGGGTAAATGAGTGTCCCACGACTTGCCGAAATCGATGACACATGCTCTCAACATGTCTTCCAGGGTCTGGATAGTTCTCTCACTTTGCCCATCTGTCTGAGGATGATAAGTCGTGCTCATGTCTAGCTTAGTTCCAAGAGCCTTCTGTAGGGACTGCCAAAATCTCGAGGTAAACCTGATATCTCGATCGGAGATAATGGACGCAGGCACACCATGCAGTCGAACTATCTCTTGAATGTAGATTCGTGTGAGTCTTTCCATCTTGAATGTTTCTTTAATCGGAAGGAAGTGAGCGGATTTTGTCAATCGATCGACAATTACCCAAATGGTATCGTACCCACTCGGAGATTTGGGTAACTTGGTGATGAAATCCATAGTAATCATCTCCCATTTCCACTCCGGTATCTCTGGTAGCCGGAGCAGACCCGAGGGTTTCTGATATTTGACCTTCACCTTGGCGCAAGTCAGACACTTGCCCACGAAGGTAGCGATTTCGGCTTTCATGTTTGGCTACCAATATAGTTTCTTGAGATCCAGGTACATCTTATCCGAACCCGGGTGCACAGAGTATCTAGTCTTGTGAGCTTCGTTCATGACAACCTCTCTGAAACCTCCGAACTTTGGGGTCCAGATTCTATCCATGAAACAATAGACTCCGTCACCTCTGATCTCAAGATTCTTATCCATTCCCCTCAAAGCTTCGTTCGATACGTTCTCTGGTTTTAGGGCTTCCAACTGAGCCTCTCGGATTTGTGCGGATAAGTGGGAATGGATGGTCATTGTCAGTATCTTCGCCTTGTTGCCTGAGCTTTCCTTTCGGCTAAGGGCATCTGCCACCACATTGGCCTTGCCAGGATGATATCGGATTTCACACTCGTAGTCACTGAGCAGCTCTACCCATCGCCGTTGTCTCATGTTTAAGTCCTTCTGATCGAAAATGTGTTGTAGGCTTTTATGGTCAGTGAAGATTGTGCACTTGGTTCCGTAGAGATAAGGTCTCCAAATCTTCAGTGCGAAGACCACTGCTCCTAACTCCAGGTCGTGAGTTGTATAGTTGACTTCGTGTGCTTTCAGCTGTCTCGAGGCATAAGCAATAACTTTTCCCCTCTGCATAAGCACACAGCCTAAGCCCTGATTGGACGCATCGCAGTAGACAATGAAGTCCTCCGTCCCTTCGGGGAGGGACAGGATAGGTGCGCTGCACAAGGCTCGTTTCAACATTTGGAATGCAGTGTCTTGCTTTTCACTCCAACAAAAGGGTACACCTTTCTGTGTCAGAGTAGTTAGGGGTTTGGCAATTCTGGAAAAATTCTGGATGAATCTACGATAATAGCGAGCAAGACCCAAGAATTGACGGATTTTTGTGGGTGTCTTCGGTGCCGACCAATTCTCTATCGCTTTGATTTTGGAAGGGTCCACGTGTATACCCTCCTCGCTTACCACGTGACCAAGGAAAGTTACCTTCCGAATCCAGAATTCACACTTAGAGAATTTCGCGTACAGCTTCTCCGATCTAAGAGTTTGCAACACTAACCTCAAGTGCTGTTTGTGATCTTCTTCGCTTCTGGAATAGACAAGTATGTCGTCAATGAACACAATAACAAACTTGTCAAGAAAATGACGACACACCCGGTTCATTAGATCCATGAACACTGCCGGTGCGTTGGTTAGACCAAAGGGCATCACTACAAACTCGTAGTGTCCATATCGAGTCCTGAATGCTGTCTTGGAAACATCACTCTCATGAACTCAAAGCTGATGGTACCCTGATCTAAGGTCTATTTTTGAGAAGTAGCTGGCTCCCTGAAGTTGATCGAAA